TGCTCAAAATATTTCATCAAAAAATTCCACCGGAAACCGCCCCAAACAGCGGAGTTCGGACGGCGCCTCCCGTCCCTCCGGCTGGACCTGATTAGTTCTCTCTCTCTCTCTCTCTCTCTCTCTCTCTATATATATATATATATATATATATATATATATATATATATATATATATATATATATATATATATATATATATATATATATATATATATATATTTAGGTTCATGTGAGAACTTAATCTTAGGAGAGTAAAAAAGATTAGATCTTAACCATTGGATTAGATTATAATAATCCGTGCGCCTAAACCTTCTCTAAGGGTAAGCAAGTCAATTTCAATTGACCGTTCCTACAATCCCTAAAACTACGCTGATTGATTCCTTCTACAATTCTTTCAAAAGATATTTTCCTCCATATTCGTTCTTCTTTCCTTGTGCGAACGTACTGATCGGATATCGTCCTTGGATCGGATTTCGTCCCGAAAGCGAAAGCATTGATCGGATTTCGGTGCTCTGTTATTCCTCCTTCGTCGTTCTTCTTTCCGACCTCCTTTCTCCTTGTTGAATTTGAAGCTATTGTATTCCGTCTGTTGTGTTTTGATTTTTTGGCTCCAGGCCAATGATTCCATGGATTTCAGTAAGTATCAATCGGATGAATTTTGTCATTGTTTAAACTGTTCAAGTTTTACGTCTTGGACCTATGATTTTTACGTTGTATATGAATCATGGATTTAAAATTTGTGTTATGTACATGCTTAAATTCTAACTATTTTGTAATGCACTCTAATTGTGTGACACCGCTCCCGAACGTCCTTGAAAATTCGATTTAAAATTCAAAGTTTATGTATTGAATTTCTGATTCCCAAACAATTGTGAAACGATTGTTGTTTTACGTAATTAATGATTGATTATTATACTGTTCGAACTCGTATATTAGTATCGGGCCTTATTAATAAATAAAAGATCCTAACATTATCTAAATAGTTATACATAACGTTTCAAGACAAGTTGAGGAAGGGCGGGCAGCCCATATATTATTTGGGCCCAACCTGCTAAAGTAGCAAATATTTGAGGACGGCGTCGTAGGCCCACTCGGGGGCGACCCACACGGCTTGTAGCCCAATAATATGAATGAAAAATGTCAAGATAAGTGATAGGATGATTAAAGAAGAGTACAAATGCCTATAACCCCATCTTTGGCATTATTGAGCCAAATAATGGGAGTAGGATTTTCCTTCTATATTATCCATCAAGTAAATTATTGAGATGAGCCTACACATATTGGGGATCAATAATGTTATGTAGGAAGTTGACTTGTTCTAAATAAATTAGGATGAGTACAAAAAGACATCTTTGACAAAAGATAAAACAATAGGACCCATTCTTCCATTTTTGGGTGTATTGATAGATATTTTGGATCCCAAATTAATTGGGATCAATGGGGAACCACTCCACATGATATTAGTACCTGCAAGACAAGGAAAATATGTGAGAAGACTCACCTTGGCCGCACCACATGGAGAAGCACTGCCCATGACACAATTGGAATCAAATTTTGGGGCCACCACCACTGTTTTCGCACAAACAGGTGTGCTGTTTTGTCTCCCTTCATTTTGAGAGTTGTACTCGTCCAAATGAGGTGTATAAGGTGTCCTTGGATAGCCTTTGAAGTCTATTTTCATAATTGAGTGGTCTCTGTTCGAGAGGAGAGAGTAGTCATCCAAAAATCGATCTGAAGCGAGCAGTGGTCTGTGAACTCGAGCTGTGAGAGTGCTGAGACTGTTTGGTTGATATCTCGAGTTTTACCAATCCAATTAAGGCGTGTGAGATACCAAAAGAAAGCTCTCAAGACTAGGAATCCGTGAAGGTCTGGTTTGCATCAATCGGAGTAGAGGAAGGCTTCCAAATCATCCGAGCAGAACGCGACCTCGCAGGGACGGATTTACTCTTCTAAGTGAGTTTTTAATCCCAAAACCTTTCCATTCATTTTCCAAATGATATGAACGATTGGTGGGACTATTATACACTACTCCAAGTGTATAAAACATCCCTATTAAGTTATTTTATTGATGTAAAGGTTAGATACTAACCTAGATGCAAATATTGGAAAACTAGGAATCGAGTTAGCCGGAAAACACCCGTTCTAGGGGCTGTTTTCGTATCAACGATTAGGAGTTGAAATAGCAACTTGAGGAAGCTGTTTAACACCCATTTTCAAGCAAGGAACCAGCTCTCAATATTCCTTGGCCGAGGCTTTGGTCATTGGATCGAGAAGGAAGGTTTTAAAGCTCATTTGAGGTGAGGACCGACATCTAGTTGCTTACAACTTGTAGGTTATGCATGAGATTACCTAAATGCTTAAATCATGTTTTTTGTGAATAAATATGCTTGAACATGATATGAATGATAAGTAATGGACTTGATCATAAATTGAAACCATATTGATGAATATGGAGTCATGTGAGATAAAAGTATGCTAAAATGGTAAATTGACCTTCCAA